TCCCTGTAGACCTCGGTGTCAAGTTACTTGACTTTGAAAAGGCTGTCTAGTCTTAGACATGGATGCAAGGCATGATCTTATCCTTGGTATGGCATGGATGGAAACACCATGAGCCATGGACTGACTGGAGCTTTAAAAGCTTGGGCGCTACGTGCACGTCTCCTGGTGGAGCTTTGGTGAGTCATGAACTCACCTCTGCTAGGAACTGGCGCGGGCACTTAACGGGGACGGTCAATAACAAGATATCGGAATATTCGAGTTGTCAAACACTAAGGTGTTTTGAACAAGAGTCCCGAGCGGGGCTCGCGGGCTGAACGTGGAGTGGCACGTGACCCACTGAGCGCTGCCCAAGTATTGGAACAGTCGCTGCATGTCAAGAGTGGCATGGTCGGCAAAGAACCGAGGCATCAAAGACGAGACCCGTGTGATACACGTGGAAGGGCTCGTAAATCACTGAGCGCTGCTCACGTTACGAAGCAGCTACTGCGTTCCAGAAATGACACGGTCGGACGAGACCCGAGGCATCCTGGGCAAGGCCCTTCTGATGCAAGTGGAGTGGCACGTTATCCGCTAAACGAAGACTGCGGAAATAGCAGCTCTTCGTTGGATGTTATTGATAGCATCAAGGCCCCAATGGAGCACACTGGACGACGCCGAGTGCGTGCTCCCACTGGTCTCGATGAGACGCAAAACATCTATAAAAAGGAGACGGCAAAGCTGTATAATAACTGCAGGACGCAGAGCGTCGACCCTGACCCAGGGTGTGTCTACCGTAGACTATAGCGCGCAGCTATGTACTTCTGCCAACTGTGTGACGGGAGAGAAAGACGGCGACGTCACTCTCGAGGCTAACCCCGCGGTGGATGCTCTTCCTGAGCTAGACGAGATGTTCCCTCGAAGAGTTTAAAGATGAAGGCAGACGACTAAGCCGAAGTGGTCATAAGACGACCGGAAGATGAGATCAGCTCGTTGTCGCTCCTGGATTAAGCTGTCCTGGAGGACACTAGGAGGAGCTGAACGCACGAAATGGATCGTCGATTTTGAAGGATTCCTCGGATCCGTACTGTCCTTTGGCGAAGGAATTCAAAGACGTTGTCTCTCAAGACCCGCCGTCGGTCCTACCTTCGGACTGAGGTGTGCGTCATGAGATTGGCCTGGTTCCGGGAGTCAAACACTGCGTAATTCGCCAATGGCCTTTGCTCAAGGAGCAGAGCGACGTCAATGACGACGTTTTCCGTGCAAAGCACGACGCAGGAATGGTGCGTGAAAGCACGTCTTCCTATTCGACACCCACGTTTTGTGTCCGGAAGCCGCACGGCAAGTAAACTAAACGCTGCCACCATTCCGACACATAAACCAACTCCTAGGAAAGGTGTTCTCCAGAATAATATGGTTGGCTGTGCAAAGTACAGTGCATTCGACTTGGTCATTGGATATTACCAATCGCCATGAGAGCGAGTATTATTCTGCTGACAGTGGTGAGTTTATCCGAGCGCGGTGCTCTGGGAGTGGCTGGTGATGCTTCAAGGGCTGTCAAATGCACCAGCAACATTTGATCGTCTTGTGAAGCAATCGTTCAAGCCCCAACCGGGCGTATGCACAAACATACTTCGACGACATCTTCGTCCACAGTCGTGCGGGGCACGGGAGGACAGATGAGGATTCCCACATCGTCTATTTGAGAGCAGGGTTCGAGTGCATGCGCACGAATAAGCTATACGCTAATGCCGATGAGTGCATGTTTGGTGCGACAGAAATCTCCGTTTTAGGGTGCTTCATTGGGGAGCGAGATCTTCGAGCAGATCCCGCAAAGATCAAGGCCAATGCGGACTGGCCGGTTTCAAAGAATTAAAATACTTGCGCAAGTGGCTTGGCCTCGCCAACTGCTTGCACAAGTAAAGCGCAAATTATGCGGAAATGACGCAGCCATTGTCCAGTCTCCTTTGATAGGATACAGAATGGTGCTGGAAAAGTCAAGAAGAAAAGAAGGTACTATCAAAATGATCCTGTATAAGTACGGTTTTACAAAATGGTGTTGGGATACCGAGCATCGAGAGGCTTTTGACAGGGTCAAAGACAGCCTCCTTCATGCATCAATGCCAGACTCCGATCGTCATTTTAGTGTCATCTGTGACGCTATGGGGTTTGCCATCGACTAAGCACTGCTGCAAGCAGACACCAAGGGCCGAGATCGGGTGATCGCTGTGAATCCCGCCAGCTTAAGGCTTCGGAGAGAAATACCCAGTCCACGACAAGGATTAACTTGCGATGAAGTATGAACTTATTAAGTCCAGGGTGAACCTGCGGGGCTAAAATCCGTTTGTGATCTACACAGATCATGCGTCACTACGCATTGCGACTCAGTCGCCTCACCTCTCGCAGAAGATGGCCAGGTGGCTCTAAACCTTTGCAGGATATAACTTCAAGGTGAAGTATAAGCCAGTAAAGCAAAGTACTTTGGCTGATGCGCTGTCAGCTTGCTCATATCACGACGGTGACGTCGTCAGTGACGGATTTCATCCGCGCCGCATACGCGGGTGTAGCGCTGTTACAGGCTCTTGGTAGCTCGAAGGCTAGGAGCCGCTACGACTGAGCACGGTAATTCTCAACGCAAGGCAGTTGGTGCATAAATGGCTCTAGACTATCGAGGTCTTCCGCCCAGCGGTAGGCGACCTCGGAAAGATACTCGGCAAAGTGCCAATGATGAAGGACTTTGTCGTCCAACGCTCGATGACCATCACGAGTCACCGGACGGCGATCGACAAAGTCGTCATCGTCCGCCGCCGAAACGTCTCGATGAGAAGGGTGACATCCACTAATACGTGGAACGCCTTGTGGGTCGACGTCGTCGACGGGGGTTTAACACAATATCTTGTGAAGTGGCGAAAGTACCCAAACTCCGAGAAGTCGCGGGAGTTTGAGGTGTCACTTCGGCAAAACTGCCCAGACGTCGTAGACGCATATGATCAGAAGGATCATGCTGCTTTCCGTCGTCTTGCGCAACGAGATTCTCGGTAGTAGCTTTGGAAGCCGGAGGGCCATGAGCTGAGCTCTAGCTTTTGCCCTGAGCTGCTGTGGTCGTAGACTTACCCATGTACGAAACCACAGAGCTCGCACGAGCTTTATGGATAGTTCTATATGTTACAGGGCGACAATACGCGGGAAGTCGACGTTGCGCCTTGAGTTTGGCAAACTTAGATCAGAGATGGCGCCATACGCGCACGTCCACTGTCCTCGTGGCTTCGCTTTAAAGTAGACAGCGAGAACATTTTTCGCTGCCGCTACACCCATCGCTCAAAGAGCTCCTCATCATCTGCAGCGTTTTTGTCAGACGCGAGCACCACATGCTTTGCCGGAATAGGAGCACCCCCTTTTTGAGCTCGAAGTCGAGCACGGTACCGATCCATTAGGATCTCTTGAATTCTAAAAAAGGGAGCCATCAGAGCTTTCCGCTGATCAAGCTCAGCTTGTGTAGTGACCAGGAGCCCGACTACGTCGACGCCTCACGATCGAGTGATCGCGTCTTTTGTTTCAGTACCAAGCGGAAGCCAAATATTACGCGAGGGTCAAGGATCGAACGGGGATACGAGCACGAGAGAGCCATATGGGCAGCCTCCAATTGCTGCTCCTGTGCCTCGTCGAGGCGATTGGTACTAATACCACTTCCCCTGAAGCCGAGAGGTTGGAAAACGGACATGGTGTCCGCAGGGTTTGAGCTGTGCTCACGTCGCGCCGTTGGCGCACCTCGCCCTCCTCTTCATCTCATACTGGGAAAGGAGTGTCTGACTCGTAGTCGACTTCCTCCAACTCCTCGACGATAAAATCCGTCGCCCGGGGTGGGCGCGTTGTTTTGCGCCCAGATGCCGAGGGCTTGGGATGTACTTCCCGTGAAGCCGCGGACGTACTGTCCGGAGATGCATCCCGCGCAAAAGACGCCGAAGGGCTCTGCCCACCGGCGTCCCCGGAACTGAGTATCTTTCGTGTCTAAGACACAGGGATCTTTGAGCAGAGAACTTTCAAAGATGTTCTTAGGGACGTAACGGTGTCTCAGACACGCGAGTATCGTATGAGACGACAGTTAAATTCGAATCGTGGTATTTACAATTTTGACGGGGACACGTACCCGTGTATGAAAGGGCGGGTCACACAAGATGGTGTGACTGTATATAGGTGTGGACTAAACAAGTTGGTGTAATCATATAATGGTGTGGCTACACCATAACAAAAAACTACTACATGGCAGAATTGTCAGTTGTAATTAGGTTAAACCATATTAATTTGGAGATCCTAAAGGATTTAGATACAGGCGGCTCTGCCGTAAAAAACAATTAAATACAGTCTCAATTTTGAACGGAAGAGCTCTTTCACCTTGTTTAAGGCTGTAAGTATTCTTGGAGGTAGCGGATTGCGATCCGCTACGCTCGTACTGGTCGTAAGTTTGGTGACCTTAGCTTAACTTCCTCTAAGCAAAGAGCTACGGCAGCCCAGCTGCAGTATTGCTTTTACAGTGGCGCAATATGTCGGCGAAAATTTTGCTCTTGTAGTAGCGCAATATATCTGAGACCTGTGTGCTTTTGCAGCGGCACAATATACCGGAGCCGGCTGACTTGGCGGGGTGTTTACCTCTGAATCTTGAATCAAGTCCGCTTGAGGGGAATCGCCCAGTTTAATCTTAGACTTGCATGATTTGGAAATACTTGAAGCTTCTCATTTGTCGTGAGATTGCCATCTCGCAACGTCAGTGGCATGCATGTTGGGTAACAAATTTCGTGTTTCGTGTGTGGCTCCACAATTTTCTTCAGAGTAACAATTTAATCTGTTGATGTGGACTACATGACTGTCTTGTCATCCGTTGGTCATCATCTTGCTGATTTAATATTACGGGCTAATTAGTGAGCTGAATTACTAACTTATCCTTTCTGAACGTTCAGTACTATCATATAAAGCTTTGATCCGAATGGGTTGGGATCAGATATCTGTATATTACTTGTCATTTTGTGATGAGATCGACAAGCCGCATCTTTGCGGTGCCAATAGCGCTACTCTTCATCTCCTTCCTTATCGTTAGCACAAATGCAAGTTCATTTCATGTCAAGGTTTACAATTTACATCACCGGAAAGAGAATCCACACGAGACGCTACAGTCACCTTTTAATGTGTATGGCTAGAATTATCAGGCATGTGTTTTAGAGTTTTGATATCACTTGATCGTTCGTACAGTGACTTAACGGGGCAACGATTGACATCATGGAGTGAGTTGGAAGGCAATTTACCGTCCACAATTAAGAATTTGTAAGTGAATGGCAATTAGAAAAGAAAGTGGTGATGAAATTGATGATCGTGGCGCAGGAACGTATCGTCTAATCTATTAGGGGAGATTGCTTTTACACAGACATTCAAGGAGCTAGAGTCGCTGTACGAAGGAAGGATAAGAGAATGATGAGCCTGTGGCTGACCATTCTTAGCTGTACATATGTTGTAGGACATGCTCAAATGCGTCACTTACGCAACTGATGGTGAATGCAACGTCTTTGAAAAGGCTGACAGCGTCAAACAATCGACTCACATCTTTCAAAAGCATTACGTTGCCGTCAAGTATTGAGGAACTGTAGGTGATTGTTAGATACTCCTTGGTGTACAAAAGGTTTAATATGAGCGTGATGCATAGCGACATATCAGAGAATCAATTGTCGGACTGGTCGGATTTCAATATGCCATCGGATCTGCAAATTCTGTACGTTCTGATAAGTAAAAGACGAAAGGGTTTGATGCAAACAGTGTAGCTTAATATTCGTTATCATGTTCGTGTCGAATAGAAATGTTAGTCACAATGCATTCGAAAATATATCGGGCTGGGATTTATCCCTAGCGACGAATTTGGTCTCGATGTAAGGCCGTTAATTTGACAGACTTTCCTATGCTATGGCTCAGCTGACTTTGTTTACAGAGATTTGTCGTCGAATAAACTAACATCTGTCGTTGGTGCCATCTTTCCGAGAAACCTGGCACGGCTGTACGCTCATTACTTATGCTTTTACTGCAGAGATATCAAAGCTTTTGTCTTACTAGTCTGTTGTTCCCGTGTTTTCACTAGGGATCTTAGCAACAATGACATACGAGCATTTGAAATTCGTGAGACTGACGTTGCAGTGCTATCCAAGCTTACATCGTTTAAAATGAATGAACTTGTGCAAGCAAATTGCCCAACCAGCGGAACAAGAACTATACAAATTGGCAACGTTCAAGTGTGTGTCATCTCTGGTACTGAGCTAGCGATGGCCTTTTTCTTAGTGTTTCTTAATGTAATTTGCGTCTCTGCTCGCAGATTCAAAGTTGGGGATTCCTGACACCCGTAATGAGAGAGGTACACTGTCTGATAGTAATTTGCTTGACAAGGATGTGCTTTTAACCTTTTGTACCTTTCATAATGAAACAGCGTTAGACAGCGAGGACTATGTGATTTTCGCCAGTGTGGTCGTCAGCATCTTAGTCAGTCTTTGGTTTGTCGTGCTTCTCACGGCTCATGCAATTCAGAGCCGTCGACATCCGGCTAAAGAAACTGATTCACAACGAGACACGATGTTAAACTCATCGTTTATACCGTTTCGACATTTGTCATCAGCGAGAAATGAAGACTTGCCTAATGACATACGATCAGACCCAGACTTTTTGTCACTTCGTATCGAGCCGTCCAATGTAATGCAAGTACGCACACTTGCTGAAGGCAATTTTGCAATACTTACTCTCGTGTATATTGGAGAAATGCCTGCTATCATAAAAAAACTTGTGATTCATTCTCCTGGTCAACCTTCTGACAAGATGAGAGCGTTTATGAGCGAAATTCGCGTATGTGCGAAGCTGAAGCATCGCAGAATAGTCGGTTTTCTTGGTATCATGTGGAGGAGTCTTTCGGATCTCGCTGCAGTGGTTGAGTACGCTCCAAACGGTAACGTTGCGGTCTTTTTAAAAGATAAATATCTTTCTCGAAAAACTTCACCATCAACGTTTATGTGGATCAACTCGCTGTCTGACTCTCCAAGCAAACTTTCGTTTGCACTACAAGCAAGTGAGGCTCTTGTGTATCTACACAGCTTTGCACCATCAATCATCCATGGCCATATAAAAGCAAGTAGTCTATTGCTTGGATCAACTTGGGAGATCAAACTCGACCGAATTGGTTACACGTTTAATTTATCGTCAATATCAATTACAGATCGATCTTGGACTGCTCCCGAGGTATTGACGAATGGAAAGTATGATGAAAAGCTGGATATCTATTCATTTGGAGTTGTCATGTGGGAACTAGACCGTTGCAAACTTCCGTTTTCACAGAAAGGCTCACGGCGTCACAATATTGATACATCGTCATGTGAACTAAAATTTCGGACAGATTGTCCTTTGGACATTCTTGAGATAGCGCAGAAATGCTTAAACGATGATCCGACTGACCGTCCCACTGCAATGGAAGTATATAATTCACTTCGAAAGGTTCTCTCTAAAGTTTGAGTACTATTTGTGTAAATGAAAAAAGTTAGTAATCTCAAGAAAAGATTTGGCGTCTTTATTCTTAAATAATTTTTTAAGGAATACTATTAAAGTTTTCATATTTCCAATACCGAATACACCGAATTAAAAACGGATCCCCTGTTCCAGCGAATAAGCCATTGAACTCATGCCTTGAAGATAGTGGTCCTGCTACTTGCGCTCACTGCAAAACGTTGATTCGCAAATCGCCAATCGCAGTTGGTACAAACGTAGCGTTTGTTGTGATTTATCAGGGAGAGTCTACGTTTGTACAACAGAAAACTGACTGTAATACTGGCGTAGAGACGTTCGGATGGTGGATTTTCTGCTAGGATTTGAATATCAACATCTATTTGTCAAGGAAACAAAAGATAGCATGGAATAATTAAAACAAGCTGCAAAAACAGAAAACATATTACTTTAAGCATTTTTTGCTGCGAAAAAAACGCGGTAGTTTTGTCTGCGTCACACAATCATTACCAGCGCTTTGTTAGGTTTGGAAATAGTGCTGTTGTTGTCCACAAGCATACAGTTTTTACATGTATTCATGCAAGAGATATTAACTTTAAGTATGAAATGAGTCAGAAAATATGATTGAGGACTACGACATTCAGAGCATTAACCGTATTTCATATTTATATGTATTATGTATTAGTTATACAGAGATGTATCATTGTATATTCGTCTATAGAGGAGGTGGGACTGTATTGACTAACTTTTCTGTTGCAAGTAGCAGGTATTACTACATATGACCTTTACACTCTCGACTGTCCAGTTACTATTATATACTCTAGACCAAAACCAACAATTATCTCGTAGGAACGGGAGCGGTATACTCAAAGCCACACACCGATCCGATCTCATGAAAACGCCACCTGGAAATTTAAGAATAAAACGGGCAGACGTCGACCAGCTTGTGGCATCTCCCTTAGAGCGCTCGTATGCATCGATTGATCGCTCAAACGACAAAGCGCTCGCTAGACAGCAAGCACCTCAGCTTGATTCTTTTTTCACGCAGTACAAAGCGTCTTTAAAGCAGTGCAATTACTTTATTTGAAAGGATGATGCAGTGGACATTGGTATATGGACTCGCAGCACTGTATACCATAGATCCACTTCTGGCTATGCCTATCGGTTTTGACGTTCCACAGACGACGGAAACATTGACGTATCTGGATGCAAATTTTCCGGGATATGGAGCACCCGTTAAGAGTGATGGAAAGTCGACAGACAAGGATCAATACACACCTGGAGCTACACATGGAGCTTCATTGCAACGTCGCCTTGAAATGACAAAAACGGTTGATATGCAAAAGCTTGAGACGTTCTTTGGAATGGAACTTGAGACTGACATTACAAAACTACCAACGAAGGTTCAACACGACCCTATTCCATGGCCAAGTAGCTATTGGCCTGTGTACGCCGATAGTATTAACTATCGATGGAATAAAACAACTCCTTGTGCGACGGAAAAGTACGCAACTGCATTTGGACACGACGTCAAAACGTTAAAGGACAAGATTTCAGCTAAAAGAGGAATTGACTCACAGTCTAAACGACGAACTTGTAAAGTGACCAATGATTGTAAGAGTCTCAAGGATAAAAGTGTGTGCGCCAAGCGAGACAATATGGAAAGCGGATACTGCATTCCCAAGTGGTTTGGAATCTGTCACGCATGGGCGCCAGCTGCTATTCTAGAGGCTGAACCATCGTGTCCTGTGGAGCGTAATGGAACAATTTTTGAGCCTTACGATATCAAGGCTTTAATCACCCTTGCATACGACGGATCAAAAATGCCGACAATTTTCACGGGCTCGCGCTTTGATGAAGACTCGAATGCTATCAATGGTACGGATGAGTACGGTCGTTTCTTGGACCCACGTCGACGTGACATTAGTCCTGGCTTCTTCCACATTGCCATCACCAATCTCATGGGTCGCTTTAATGCCAGTTTTGTCGTTGACATCACGGCCGGAAATGAAGTATGGAACCAGCCAGTTCGTGGCTATGAAATTCTTCGTCTCTCCTGGATGAGTCCGTCAGCCGCCGCGAAAAAATATTTCAAGGTTGACAAATACCCATTTAATGATGCTGCTACTAGAATTGCTGCCGTGACAACACGATTTAGCTGGGTCATCGAGTCCGGTCGCAATGGACCTTTAGTATCTACTGGTTTGGCGAACAGATCAACGAAGAGTGCAGACTACGAATATTTGATTGAAACGGACCACCGTTTTAAAATTATAGGCGGCGAGTGGGTTAATGGCTCGATTGAACTGCATCCAGATTTTTTATGGGTGCCCGCGACAAAACCTGATAACGACACAATTACGTCCGTAGGCTTGCATTACGGGGAGATCGAAGCCCTTGTCTATGAGTCAACACACAATTGCAAAGACGCAGCAAAGACACCGGATATGCCGGGAACTGTTCATCCTGCTGACTCAAAACCTGAATCTACTGACGGATCTTCATCAGACGCAGAGTCGACATCAAATTCTACATCAGTCGCCGGTCCTGCTTCGGATTCAACGGATGTAGGTGACGATAACTCAGACTCTTCAAATGATACAGAAACAAACGATGACGACAAACCGAGCGAAGATTCTAAAAAAGCTACAAACGCTTCTGTTCCAGGCGCAGGACCTGTTATCCCAGCTATTGATTCTTCTACTCCAGACGTCGATGATTCCAAAGATGATTCCGCTAGCAAAGATGCCGATCCAGCTGCTCCA